CATCTAGGAATCACATATGATGTGATTGACAATGTGTTGTCTACCTAAATAGCATGGTTTTGAGCGTCATGCCCTAGCTGACTCAAAAGCATGTGAAATATGGATCCTAGCTCACTTGGAAACTCATTGAGGGTGTTTTTCTTAGTGGGAGCCTGTCATATTGCATCTATTATCTGTGTTAGTAAGTGTACTAAGTGACTTGCATATTTTCTGTCTGTTTGTCTGTCTTTTTCTGTAGAACATATCTGTTGCAGGAATCTGTTTTATCTCACCATGCGATCTATCCTTATGAAGGATAAGCCTCTGACCAAGGCTTCTGGATCGATCATTGATGCTTATTGGAAGCATGTGGATGATGATCTGGACGTGTCCAGCTTGATGCTTGGAAAGATGTCTTCGGAATTGCGTGAGCAATTAGATGACATGGACAATTCATTGATGGATGATCAGTTGAATATGTCATTCCAAGAGAAAGCTGGGAGCCAAGGGAAGAATGATATGGTGATTGTTGGAAAGAGTTCCAGCAAGAGGAAGCGTTCCAAAGGTAAGGGCAAAAGGAAATTGACAAGTGTTGTCACTAAGCCTAAGTCCAAACCCAAGAAGGAAGAGTGTTATTTCTGTCATGCCATCGGGCATTGGTATAGAAATTGCAGACTCTACCTGGAAGATCAGAGGAAGAAGAAGCTTGCAGAAGCTTCAATTTCCGGTATCTTCATTATAGAGGCCAACTTGTGTACTTCTTCTTCATGGGTATTAGATACCGGATGTGCCTCGCACATTTGTGCAAATGTGCAGGGACTGCGAGGAAGTAGACAATTGGCAAAGGGAGAAGTAGATCTCCGTGTCGGGAATGGAGCAAAAGTTGCTGCATTGATCGTCGGGACTTATGATCTGACTTTACCTTCTGGCCTTGTATTGGAGTTGCATGATTGTTATTTTGTACCTGCTATCAGTAGGAACATCATATCGATTTCATGCTTAGACTCAGATGGTTTCAGATTTGTTATTGAGAACAAATGTCTGTCCATTTATAGAGGCGATTTATTCTATGGTAAAGGTTACCAGTTTAATGGCCTTTATATTTTGGAAGATGAACCATCTGGATACAGGTCGATCTATAATGTTAGTACCAAGCGGTTTAAGCCGAACGACTTAAATCCGACCTATCTCTGGCATTGTCGACTTGGTCACATCAATGAGAAACGCATTGCGAAGCTTCATTCTGATGGACTTCTTGATTCTTTTGATTATGAGTCAATTGAATCGTGCGATTCTTGTTTGATGGGCAAGATGACAAAATCTCCTTTTTCTGGAAAAGGAGAACGGGCTACAGAGTTGCTAGAACTCATACATAGTGATGTATGCGGTCCTATGAGCTCTCCCGCTAGAGGAGGTTATCTGTACTTTGTTACGTTTACTGATGATTTCAGTAGGTACGGTTATGTCTACTTGATGAGACATAAGTCTGAAACGCTTGAATTGTTCAAGATTTTCAGAAACGAGGTACAGAACCAACTTGGCAAGACGATCAAGTTGCTTCGATCTGATCGAGGTGGCGAGTATATGAGCCAAGAGTTCACTGACTATCTGGCAGATTGTGGGATTGTCTCACAGCTGACTCCACCTGGCACGCCACAGTGGAATGGCGTGTCTGAGAGGAGAAACCGAACCCTATTAGATATGGTGCGGTCTATGATGAGTCAGGTCGATCTTCCTAAATCCTTCTGGGGATATGCTTTGGAAACAGCAGCGCTTATACTGAACAACTGTCCAACAAAGTCGGTTCAGAAGACTCCATATGAGATATGGACTGGGAAGCGTCCCAGGTTAGCATTCATGAAGATTTGGGGATGTGACGTTTACGTGAAACGTCTGGCTTCTGATAAGCTATCCGCCAAAATGAATGCTAACCTGGGACGCTTCCCAGTCCATATCTCATATGGAGTCTTCTGAACCGACTTTGTTGGACAGTTGTTCAGTATAAGCGCTGCTGTTTCCAAAGCATATCCCCAGAAGGATTTAGGAAGATCGACCTGACTCATCATAGACCGTACCATATCTAATAGGGTCCGGTTCCTCCTCTCAGACACGCCATTCCACTGTGGCGTTCCAGGTGGAGTCAGCTGTGAGACAATCCCACAATCTGCCAGATAGTCAGTGAACTCTTGGCTCATATACTCGCCACCTCGATCAGATCGAAGCAACTTGATCGTCTTGCCAAGTTGGTTCTGTACCTCGTTTCTGAAAATCTTGAACAATTCAAGCGTTTCAGACTTATGTCTCATCAAGTAGACATAACCGTACCTACTGAAATCATCAGTAAACGTAACAAAGTACAGATAACCTCCTCTAGCGGGAGAGCTCATAGGACCGCATTCATCACTATGTATGAGTTCTAGCAACTCTGTAGCCCGTTCTCCTTTTCCAGAAAAAGGAGATTTTGTCA